GTTGTTTGTATGTATTGCAGTTATTCTAAACCTAAAAGGAAGGAAGAAGCTTCAACTGGATTTGGAGATAACCCTCAATGGTTAAAAACCATATTACTTTACAAAATGAAAATAATATCGAGTGGTTCCATAGAAGGCTTTGACAGTGCTGGAAGTCTCCAGTTTTTATTCATAAAAGCCACATGATGAGAGATTATGTGAGCCACATGGATTTCTTATATAGCAGCTCAAATGAAGCTATCATTTCCATTTATTTCAGGCTTACTATTGTCCTAAGTAGTAAAGATTCTTTGCCCTTGTTAGGGCAAAGAATCCCCCTCCCCCTGCAAACCTTTTAAGTACCCTCTTTGGTTCACACCTTGTCACAGTTACATCTGAGTCCCAAGCTCATGCACTACCTACCATGGTCCATTGGCAAACCAGTGAGGTCCACTAGGAAATCTCTTCGACTGATTGTCCAGTCTACGGCAAGAACTGGTCAGACTGAAAACAATGTACTTGCCTGCCTGCCTTGATTATGATGCAGTGACAGTACAGTGCAACACTATTCTGCCCAATGGCCAGCATAAGTTCCACACCAGTATTGCCAAGATTAGCTTCCATAGCCATGACCTCCCCCATAAAGCTTATATTAGAATCTCCTGCTTTGTCCGACCATATCGACACTTTCCCCGTCAATGTTAGAAACGTTGGTATTCTGGCCATCCAGTCTACTGCCCTCTGTGCCCAACCTGATCATAACCATTCAAATTGCTCATCTCAGTCACATACATAATGTATTTTATAGAAGCTACCCTGTCCATAATGTGAGGTAGCAGTTGTCAGATTCAAACTCAGCTTCACTCAACGTGAAGCCAGATAGGAAGCACGGTGACGAAGTTTTTCACCCTTATCTATTCCAAAACTGTCCTTCACTCTGCTCCTTTCCCTATACCCTCAACCATCCTACCTCTATTCCCCCTTTCCCTCAGCAAAATTCCTTTTGCAATCTAGATCCAGAAACGCCACTCTACCATTTCACCGATGCCTACCCCTCCTCCTCGCTTTACCTGTTGCACCAGGCAACCTAAATGTTCCACTCCATCCCTCCTACCACACCCTCTCCAACAACCACCTCTTCCTCTGCTCCTTGGATATATCCCTCTTCTCCTCACAAGAGAACCTTTGTTTCTCAGATCTCTTCACCCAACTCTCCTCCAGAAACTCGAAGACATCCATACTTAGTAAACTTGGCCCAAGAGAGCACTGCTCTCCCATCCCCCCTCCCCCAATTCCTCTACATTTACTGTATGTGCTGATGCCCATCTTCCTCTGCAAGTTCCCCTACCCCCTTCCTTGCATACTCTCAACACAGCCTATCCTGTCCTACATGTGCACCATGCCCTTTTCGGTCCCCATTATCTTTATCGCTCCAACAAGGATGCTCACGTGAATCCCTTCAACAGTGTCCTCCAGACCCCTCATGTCTTGACATTATTCTTGATGCTTCACCTTCCCCAGTCCTGCTTTCTCATTCCCCTGAATGTTCTCCGACTGCTCCAACAGCCACCTCTGTTTTCCTTAAATAATGTCCCCATTCCTTCCCTAGTCACTGATACACTCCCCATGTAATTCAATTGTCCTACCCCCTTTTCTCTTTTACTTGTCTCTGCTTTACTTCAATTGCTCCCCTCTCTACCCTTTTCACTACCATATTATCCTCTAATGGTCTATAATCTTTTGCAATTAACACATTTTCTAATCTTTAAATTTGTATTACCCTTTCTACCATATGACCTTTGATGTGTAGTGCATTTAATTGTTTCGACCATTAACCATTTACCTTTTTCGCCATAATACTTAATCATAGTGATGTATGACCTTCAATGTCTGGCAAATTAATTTGTTTTGAACTTTAACCTTTCTCGGAATCCCCTAACATTGCCTTATGAATGAACAAACAAACAAGAGAGTCCTTGCTGGGGCCTTTACCCCATAGCCTCTCCAATCGCTATATTTTTAGTACACCACTAATGACCTTAGATGTTGATGCGGCAAAAAAAAATTAAATTAAATTAAAAAAAAGTTTGCCTGACTAAGATGTTATTTCTTATCATGCCCTGTCAAAAAGGCAGGCCTTTGGTTTAAGGGCTGCTTTGTATTTGGCATAGGTGTCTGGCAAAGCTTATGCTAGTGGTTGAAAGGAAGGTCAATGGTACGATAAATATGGTGCCCAGTGGAGGGGATCACCCCCACGTTCGACCTCCCAACATATCGGACATCCTTACAGAATTCCACAGCTTCTGCCTTGACAACCTGTTCTCCTTCCTCAGACGCATAAATATCCTTCACTTGATCTAACTCCATTACCTAAACCACCATAACCTTTTCCCTCATCTTCAACCTTTCAACACTACTCTAGATAGTTGACACATAGCAACTATCACCTGACATCCCCCTTTACTATACCTTCCTATAGTGCTATATGACCTTAGATGTCTAGCACATTTATCTTAACCATTAACCATCACCCCCACGTTGGACCTCAGCCCTCTCCTCAACTAATTTTGCATGGTCTTTCCTTCTCCCCCTTTCCTTTTTGTATCTTTTTCATCCCCTCCTGTCTACATCTCGAAGCTTGTGAGCTATTTTGAAAGGATGAAAGGCTGACTTTGGTCAATCCTTATCACTATCATACTAACCTAAAGTGTTAAACTTGGAGCTCTCAACATATTTTATCCTAATGGTTAACTCACTTTTACTCTTTTTGCTACAATATCTTGTAGTGCTGTATGACCTTTCCTTGCTTGGGAGCTTTGCCCCTAAGCCTCACCCTATCCTTATATTTTGAATACTGCTAATGACTTTAGATGTTGACGCAACATAAAATGTTCAGTAAATAAATCAATAACTTCCATAGACATGACTTCCCAAAAGTTTACATTGGTGGAGAGTCCTACCCTGCCGGACCATGTCAACCCCTCCCCAGTTGATGTCAGAAATTTTGGCATCTTGGCTTCCACAACCCACTGCCCTCTTATGTACTCAGCTGGTTATGATTTATCAAATTGCTTTATGCAATTACACACGCATGTATTTTAAAGGGGATGACCTACAGCCATGTTTCAACCTCTCTCTCTCTTGGCCACTGCCATCTCCAACTCTTACAGACTGACACTCATATATTCTGGGGTTCAGACCACAAAACATTCCTCCGTCTACATATTACCCTAATCCTCACCTTCCTTGATTAAGGGTCACGTACTCTACTTCCCTTTTTGTACACCTTGACACAAACCACTATAGGCACCTTTCAAACCTCCCACTGAGGCCCTATATACTGAATCAGGCCACCAATCCCTTTCTTGACATCGTGCTCTTGTCCCTAAGATGCTATGCTCATTGTCACCAATTTTCTCTCCAAGGTAACTGTCCCCCAATCCCTTCCTCATACCACCACCTGCCCACCTTTACCTACCCTTTCTCCGTTCATATGGACGCTCTGCTTTTCCATTCACCCATTGCTCATCTCCAACCCTTCTCTTTTGGGACTAACTTTCTCTTCTTGAGCTATAATCTTAAGCGCTGATGATATTAGCTCTGTCTAAATCTTTTCTCAGACTCACCGCAAATCCAGACGACATACTTTTACAGGACGGGAAAGGATGGACAAGGGCACTAAGACTGTGTAAATTATCTGTGCGAGCTTGCTTGACTAATAGTCTGGAGCCGTCACTCACTTGAGCCGACGGGGTAAACTGCAACGTAATACGATGACTTCGAGGCGGTCCTAGATTGGTAATCTTTCAGATTCGCGAGTGGTAATGTCGTTTGCTAAATGTCCACATATGAATTCGAGCATTACGAAGCAAGATTTAATGAATTTAGATATTGTCTCTCTACTCCTTGTTTGGGCCTAGCAAGAGAACCTTAACGCTATATGGTATACTATACTACAATAAAGAGCTTAACAAGCATTTTAAACATAGTCGAGTATTGTGTGAGAGTTGTATTGTAAGGAAATTAGCAATATCATATGTGAGTTTCGTGCGCAAGTCTCATTAGTATTTTGATTGTATTTCGAAACAATTCTATTAGGAAATGAGCATATACATAGTTTATTGTAATATGACAAGATAGCCTTGCAGAGAAGCGAGAATTTGGATGATTGCTTCCTGTGAACAGCAGTATCTTTTAACGTGAGATGTTTGCGCTGTAATGGTTGGCTTATGAACAAGTATAGCTATAAGCTTTTTGATTATAATATGTCAATTGTTTTTTGAGAAGCGGTTTTGATGAAATGGGAATCAAATAGTGAGACATAGTAAAAGCTTAAGTAGAGAGGTTAGGGATTAGCTCTAAGGATGAGGATGCGAGATGAAAATTCAGAGTATACTAAGCAAGGACAAATGACACGATTTTTGATGAGAAGGATTAGAACACATATAGACTTAGTCAATTTGGGTAGTTAGTTCCTATTACATGCATGCTACAGTATAAAGGCTGAGTAGATGAAATCGAACAAATAACCTGAGAGGTGATATTAATTTAATTGGTTTCCAATGTCAATTGGCCAATGGTATCACATATCCTAGATCAATGCTTCTTGAACATAGATCTAAATGCGATTTGGTGTTATAATTTAGAGGCTATAACTTTTAATTGTATTGATAGAACTGACACTTATGTCTTTATATTTGTCAACAATAGTGAGAATAAAGCACAAGTGACTTGAATAATAAAAATATTTTATGGAATCAATAAACATACTCACTGTCAACAATTAGAGAGAGTGGAGGTTGTTGCTTTATATGTGGTCTCATTGTTTTTCTTAGGTTACAATTACTGTTGTAAAGAGATAGGAAGGGAGCAAAAGAAGAAAATTGGAGTTTGTGAATTCAGAGCTGTGTGATATCACAGTGGAGGATTGTGTGTGAAAAGGGACATGATGATGAGCGTATGAGAGAGTAATGTGGCGCGCGACGGGGGGTGCTGAAATGGAGGGTAAACGGGAGTGGGTT